CCCCAATGTCCATAGCAGCAATGGCCATGGTCGCCAAACTGTGGAAAGAACCAAGATGCCCTTCATCGAATGAATGGATAAGGAAGATGTGGTCCGTATATACACTATGGAGTATTACACCTCCATCAGAACTGATGAATACCCAACTTTTATATCAACATAGACAGGACTGGAGGAGATTATGCTGAGTGAAATAAGTCAAGCAGAGAGAGTCAGTTGGTCTCACCTACTTGTGGAGCATAAGGAATAACATGGAGGACATGGGGAGATGGAGAGGAGAAGGGAGTTGGAAATTGGAGGGAGAGACAAACCATGCGAGACTGTGGACTCTGAAAAACAATCTGAGAGTTTTGAAGGGGCAAGGCGTGGGAGGTTGGGCGAGCCTGGTGGTGGGTATTATGGAGGGCACGTATTGCATGGAACACTGAGTGTGGTGCATAAACAATGAATTCTGGTGCACTGAAAAGAAATAAAAAATAAATAAAGATGTACAACTCATTGGTTTTGTTTTTGTTTTAATTTAACTTCATTTTATTTAAATTCAACTAATTAACATATAGTGTATTATTATTTTCAGTGGTAGAGTTCAGTTATTCATCAGTTGCATATAATACCCAGTGCTCATTTCATAATGTGCCCCCCTTAATGCCCATCACCCAGTTACTCCATCCCCCCATCGATCTCCCCTCCAGCCACCTTTGGTTTGTTTCCTAGTTGAATCTCTTATAGTTGGGGCACCTGGGTGGCTCAGTCAGATGAATGTCTGCCTTTGATTGGATCATGATCTCAGGGTCCTGGATCAAGCCCAGTGTCTGGTCCCTTGCTTAGTTGGGTATCTGCTTCTCCCTCTCCCTCTATCCCCACTGCTGTGCTCTCTCTCTCTCTCAAAAAAAAATAAATAAAATCTTGTAAAAATTTTTTAAAAAGGGTGTCTTGGTGGCTCAATCCCTTAAGTATTTGTCTTCAACTCAGGTCATGATCCTGAGGTCCAGGGATGGAGCCTGGTGTGGGGCTCCCTGCTCCTCAGGGAGCCTGATTCTCTCTTTCTCTCTCTGCTGGCCACTGCCCTGCTTGTGCACTCTCTCTCTCTGTCAAATAAATAAATAAAATCTTTTTTAGAAATTTAAAAATTAAAAAAATAATAAAATTTATCTTTAAAAAAAGAGTCTCTATGGTTTGTTTCCCTCTCTAATTTCATCTTATTTTATTTTTCCTTCCCCTCCCCTATAATCCTCTGTTTTGTGAAACCACAAATCTCTTAAAAAATATATGCAGTAATCTCTTGCATGTCTCCCTCAGCAACATATTTACAAAAATGTCTCTCCAGGCAGGGCGAACGAAAGCAAAGATAAATTATTGTGGTTACAAGAAAATAAAAAGCTTTTCCATAGGGAAGGAAACTAAACACAAAACAGAAGGCAAGCCATAAATGGGACGATATTTGCAAATAATGTATCTGATAAGGGATTATTATAGGAAAGGTATAAAGAACTTACACAACTCAACACCACACACACACACACACACACACACACACGCACATGCACACAGGAAAGTGATTTTAAAATGGGCAGATGACCTGAGTAGACATTACTTCCGCCCAAGAAATTCCCAAGCAAAAGCATGCAGATGACCAATACTGATACCAATCATTGAAAAGATGATCAACATTGCTAATTATCAGGGAATGCAAATCAAAGCCGCAGTGAGATATCACACATCATTCAGAATGGCTGCTATTAAAAAGAAAGAACACCAAGTGTTGGAGAGGATGTGGAACGAAGGGAACTATCAGGCACTGTTGTGAGAATGTAAATTGGTGCAACCACCGTGGGCAACTGTATGACCTTTCATCAAAAGATTAAAAATATATAACAGATGAAATCTAGTAAAAGATAAAATCCAGTAACACCACTATTGTGCATTTAGGCAAAGAAAACAAAACCACTAATTCAAAAAAAGTATCCGCACCTCTATGTTTATTGCAACATTATTTACTATGGTCGAGATATGGAAGCAATGCACGTGTGCACTGATAGATGAATACATACAAAAGATGAAGTGTGTATATGTAAATATACGTGTGTATACACACACACATACAGACAGACACACAATGGATTACTCAGCCATAAAAAATGAGAGCTTGCCATTTGCAACAACATGGATCACTTCGAAGGTATTATACTAAGTGAAATAAGTCAGAAAGAGAAAGACAAATAAATACCATAATTTTACTTATAAGTGGAATCTGAACAAGCAAACAAGTATAAGTACAGAGAATAAACTGGTAGTTGCCAGAGGGGAGGTGGGTGAGGGGAAGGTAAAAATAGATAAAGGAGATTAGGAAGTACCCATTTCCGGTTATAAAGTAAGTCACAGAGATGAATAATGAGATGAAGTGAATCTCACTGAGATGAATAGTACAGAGATGAATAGTCACAGGGATGAATAGTACAACACGGGGAATGTAGTCAATAATATTGTAACAATGTTGGATGGCGACAGATGGCAACTGCACTTACTGTGGAGAGATTTAAGTAATGCATAGAGTTGTTGAATCAATGTTGTGCACCTAAAACTAATGTAATGTTTTATGTTAATTATTCTTTAATCAAAAGCTGGTCTGTGTGTGAGGGATATAAACTCCAGGTTAGAGGAGAGAACTGCTGTTTGCAGGGATCACAACAGTTTACTGGGTGGATGGTTCATTCCATTTCTTCTTCTTTTTTAGAATGACAGCTTCATTGAGCTATAGTTCACATAAGTCTTATTTCTTCAGCTATTTTTCTTATGAGATTTTTTTTTGAAAAGACATTAATAAAAATATTTTTAATGGGTGGAGCCTTGAGTGTGCTCATCTAGAACAATTACCAAATAGCAAATGGAGAACCTGGGGTACAGGACATTGTGTAGGGAGTGCTGCCATTTTTGTAAAGAGGAGAAAACAGATGTGTGTATTTCTTCCTATATTCCTTAAACGGACCTGAAAAGATGACAGGGTCCCCTCTGGTACAGAAACTTGAAGAATGGCTATTGTGTGCATTGTATACATCTTACAACTCTTGGTTTATAAACTACATAGTTGATGTCTATTTGACAAATAAATGAAAAACAAAACCAACTGACCAACCAAACAAACAAACAAACAAACAAAACAAAAGCCAGACTATGGCTCCCCAGGAAACAGGGTTACTCCCTATTCAGTTTCCATGCCAATTGGGTATACTGTCTTTTAGTTCCTGCACTAACCATACAGAGTTAGCAAAGAGTCCCCAGGTTTCAGAGCTCAGTCCTTCAGAAGACTACTCTCACTTCAGACACCAGCTGCACTGGGGGGCAGGGGGGTCCTAGTGTTATGCCCGAGTTTTCACGTCTGAGAGACCACCAAGGAGCCAACACCAATGTAATCACACGAGGGTTTATTTGACAAGCTTAAGCTTGGGCCCAAGTATACCTGACACAGCAGAGTAGGGACTTGGACCCCAAGGTGACATGCTTAAGCTTGGGCCCAAGTATACCCGATGCAGCGGAGTAGGGACTTGGACCCTGAACCAGACTACAGTCAGAGTTTTTAAAGGCAGGGTAGGGGTGGACTCAGCGGTGGGTGAGGACAAAGGGGGTGTTCAGAAGGGCTATCAGGGTAAAGAAGACTGTCAGGATATTGGTGTCCTGGTTATTATCAAGCCAAGGTCATTTTTCCTTCAAATGAGGCACTAACATGATGACAGTTGGGAGTTTCCTGGTGGAATGTCACATTCCTCCTATCAAGCAAGCATCCTTGTTAGTGAGATTTAGCACTGGGACATTTGTAAAACGAGGGAGACTCCTGTCTTGCAGGATTGCGATTTCTGCAAGTTAACTATTTGTTCACACATACTACTGAGGGAAGGGGAGCGGGTGGAGAGGGGGTGCAAGGTGCCAGCTTTTGCTTTGTCAAGATGGCTGTACTTATGTCAAGGCTAGACTCAAGGTGGGTACAGCCTTGTTTTTCTTGGCCTCCACACATAGGTCACATGGATCTCCAACTGTCTACAAATTAGAGGGGTCCTGTAACCCTATCAAGCCTGCTAATTGATCAGAATGATTCACATGAGTCAGGCAAGTGTTATACTTACAAGTCTGGTTTTATTTAAAAGGATACACATAGGGTGGGTTCTGGTGGGGAGTACACAGCTTCCATGCCTCTGTCCATGGAGCCAGAGTATGCAACCTTCCAGAACATCAATGCAAACATCAACTAAGAAGCCCACTAAGCCTTGGTGTCTAGGGTTTTGGTTGATGTTTCATTACAAAGACATGATTGCTTAAATCACTGGCTACTTAATTGAGCTCAGTGTCTACCCTCTTCTCCTCCCAGATGTTCAGCTGGCCCAGAGCCTCTACACTATGTTGACAGGGTTGGTTTCCTGGTGGCCAGCCACTGACCTGAAGCAATTTAGGATCCTGCCTGGAATCACTTCATTAGCTAAACAAAGTCAGCTTCCAACAGTCAGGAAATCCCCAGGGATTCTGAAGCTCTTGCCAGGAACCAGGGACTAGGACTAGGTACCCTCTTTACTAGACTTCACTTCCCATAGAGTATGGGCTGTCCAAGGTTAACAGGTGAGGCATGACTGTCATTTTCCCAAGACTGTGTTCTTTGAATGTGCATTCAGATTCGGCCTGGCCTGGAGTCTGGGGCTCAGTTAGGTGTCCTTTGGGGTCACTGAGAAGGCTGCTGCCTGGGATTCTGTGTCCTCCTCTCACTCATGAAGCCAAAAACACACCATATCAATGGTCCTGATGCCTTTCAGTTTCCCTTCCTGGCGATGGCTGTGCTTCTCGGAAAAGGAGCCCTCAGAACTTCAATTTCACTTTCTATTCCGGGAAATGCAGGGCTCTGCAATGTGATGGCTGCTTCTTTTTACTATTGGTCAGAATCCTCTGAGGGTGGAGCAGAGGCCAGAGATGATTTAAGTCCTGCCTGCTCCTCACAGGCAGTATAGACATTAGGGGTGACCGTCAGCTCTTTCTCTCTTCAGTGACTAAACCAGCACACAGTACCTGTTCCAGTGCAAGGCCAGTCTGAGCAGCAGCGCTCCTGCTGTGGGCTGCAGGGAGCACATCCACCAGGCTCAGCATCTCCTGAGCTGCCCAAGGACACATTCAGAGCTCAACGCTGACACCAGGTGTCTCTTTCCCTCCAGGAGCTGGTAAGCAAGAAATCACAGATTTGTATGTCTAAGCTTGGGAGAACCTGGATGCTTGATCTCGGGTGCTGTGGGCTTGAAAGGCTGAGGGGCAGGATGTCTGGTGCATGGCTGTGAGCCAG